AACATGAGCCAACAATGTGATGTGGCGGCAAAAGAAGCCAATGGGATTTTGGCCTGCATCAATAGGAGCATAATGTCTAGATCTAGGGAAGTAATGCTACCCCTCTATTCCGCTTTGGTTAGACCACACCTGGAATATTGTGTCCAATTCTGGGCACCACAATTCAAGAGAGATATTGACAAGCTGGAATGTGTCCAGAGGAGGGCGACTAAAATGATCAAGGGTCTGGAGAACAAGCCCTATGAGGAGCGGCTTAAGGAGCTTGGCATGTTTAGCCTGAAGAAAAGAAGGCTGAGAGGAGATATGATAGCCATGTATAAATATGTGAGAGGAAGCCACAGGGAGGAGGGAGCAAGCTTGTTTTCTGCTTCCTTGCAGACTAGGACGCGGAACAATGGCTTCAAACTACAAGAGAGGAGATTCCATCTGAACATAAGGAAGAACTTCCTGACTGTGAGAGCCGTTCAGCAGTGGAACTCTCTGCCCCGGAGTGTGGTGGAGGCTCCTTCTTTGGAAGCTTTTAAACAGAGGCTGGATGGCCATCTGTCAGGGGTGATTTGAATGCAATATTCCTGCTTCTTGGCAGGGGGTTGGACTGGATGTCCCATGAGGTCTCTTCCAACTCTTTGATTCTATGAATTTGCTTTAGGTTGTGTATTGTTATGTTGTGTTTTGAGGCCTTGGCCTTTGTAAGCCGCATCGAGTCATGATCCTCTGAAGATGCCAGCCACAGATGCAGGTCAAACATCAGGAGAAAATGCTGCTAGAGTGCAGTCATACAGCTCAGCACCGGGATTGTTCTATTCTATTCTATGATCGAATGAACAACAACATTGATCCCCATCAAGCCATTCTTTCTCCGCCTTGCCCATCCATACCTTCGAACCCCAACATTCCCACCCCTGCTGTCATGTTTACACCAACGTAAAAGCCAGCAGTGAATTCAATTCTTCCGCAGCCTGATCTATCATCTGAACAAGTAGGCTCAGCTTGTGCAAATAGGCTGTCACCAAGCAGATATCACAGATAACATTTCAATAAACTATGGAATACTTATTGGCTTCCGCGGAAGTCAATTCATAGGATCTTTTTTCAGTTACAAGACAGCAGAGAATGCAAACAGTGTGCAAACTTGTCCTCAGTTCTCTTTTGTCAATAAAGAACAGTTTCACACTACATTCACTTACTGGGTACCTGCTGTTGTTTGCAGCCATTAATCTCCACAAAAACCACAGTCAGTACCGTATGGTATTTATTTAATACATTTGCAGGGTGGTGGCCCGTGTTGAGTCAGCAGAAAGCATTCCGGCTGCTGAGTCATTATTTCCGTCGTGGACTTGGCTTCTCTTGAGAGATTTACATTCACCTCATTGCAAGAGTTGCTCCTGCCTCTGCCTCATTTGGCGACATTCCTCTAAAGTCTTGAACTGTGCAAGTTCAGCTATGGAGCTAGGTCAATGTCCATAGACTCATGCAATCATTAAGCATACAGATAACAGCTAACTGACATCAATGGAAGGTTTTATTTCTCACTAGCCATCCCCTGCCACGCGTTGCTGTGGCCCACATGGGGGTTCAGTGTGGGAGGTTTGGCCCAGTTCTATCATTGGTGGTATTCAGAATGCACTGTGATTGTAGGTGAACTATAAATCCCAGCAACTACAACTCCCAAGTGTCAAGATTCTATTTTCCCCAAACTCCACCAGTGTTCACATTTGGGCATATTGAGTATTCTTGTAGAGTTTGGTCCAGATCCATCATTGTTTGAGTCCACAGTGATCTTTGGATGTAGGTGAACTACAACTCCAAAACCAAAGGACACTGCCCACCAAACCTTTCCAGTATTTTCTGTTGGTCATGGGAGAACTGTGTGCCAAGTTTGGTTCAATTCCACCATTGGTGGGGTTCAGAATGCTCTGTGATTGTAGGTGAACTATAAATCCCAGCAACTACAACTCCCAAATGTCAAGATTCTATTTTCCCCAAACTCCACCAGTGTTCACATTTGGGCATATTGAGTCTTCATGCCAAGTTTGGTCCAGATCTATCATTGTTTGAGTCCACAGTGCTCTCTGGATGTAGGTGAACTACAACTTCAAAACCAAAGGACACTGCCCACAAACCCTTCCAGTATTTTCTGTTGGTCATGGAAGAACTGTGTTGCAAGTTTGGTTCAATTCCATCATTGATGGGGTTCAGAATGTACTTTGATTGTAGGTGAATTACAAATCCCAGCAACTACAACTCCCAAATGACAAAATCATTTTTTTTAGTGGAGAACATACATTGGATTGTTAGGTGTATCGTGTCCAAATTTGGTGCCAATTGCCCCAGTGGTTTTTGAGTTCTGTGAATACCACAAACGAACATTACATTTTTATTTATATAGATTAATTAATAATGATACCATAACATAGCATTGATACAAGAGGTTGTCATGACATAAATCCCACACTCAATCCACCTTCAATTAGATTGATATGGAAATTCCCAAACCGAACCCGAGGTTCTGCAAATGTGTTGGGAGTCCCATGTGAACTGATTTGTTGTTGTTGTTGTTGTTGTTGTTGTGTGTTCCGAGTCTTTTCTGCCTTATGGGAACCCTAAGGTGAACCTGTAACAGGGTTTTCTGGGACTAAAAGTGTGTGAATTGCCATGGTCAGTGGGTTTTCATAGTGGAGTGAGAAGTTGAATCTTGGTCTCCTGAATCTTAGGACCTCATCACATGAATGAGGTCCAGCAGAATGATTTGCAGCCTCCATAGCAAATCATGGTGGCGGTGGGGCAATCCTGGCACCCTGGATGCCAGCTAATGCTTCTCCATCATATGTGGGGAAGTGTCACTGCTGTGCAAAAGCCCCATTGTTCCTTATGAAACACAGGGCAGCTTCTGTGTTGGCAAATCATACCATGGAGTCTGGAAGTCAGCGTACATCATTTGATGGGTGGCATGGGGTTCTATGAGCAAACCAGGGCAGAGGCATCCTAGGATGCTTCGGTTTCCCCATGTGATGAGGCCCACACTCAAACCACTCTACCACACTGGTACTGATTTACTGGAGACTATTTCTGAAAAACAGTTCCTTTCAGCATGGACTGTATCTGTACTTCCCAAAAGAGCCTGGAATAGAGTCTAGATTCTGTGTCTTGGATAGGGAACTTTCCTGGCATCAGGGGCCATAGACTACCCAAAATTAAAATGGCCAAAAGTCCACTTCTGGTTTGATAGCCCCTGTGCTGTCGCACACTGGGCCTGTGCATAAGACTGTAGACAGGACATAGTTTCTGTGTGCCCAACAGGACGCCGGGGCTGCCTCAGATTAAAGGCCCTTGGATTTCCTTAAAACAGAGTCTCTAGATTGCTTAAAATTTCAATAAAGTTCTTTATTAATGAAAACAAAAGGGTACTTTAAGGCTTTCTTAACAGTCTATTGGCTCTCTCTCAATCTTGTCCACAGGGAACAGGCACTATCTTCATAACTGTATACTAACTAATGGGGAAATCCTTAACTTCTAATCTGGGCAGTCTGTCTTTGCCTCTGTTGGCGTGGAGCCCCTGCACCCGGTACCAACTGCTTCTGGCTTCCGCGAGTGACCCTTACCAAGGAGAGCTTTGTAGACTTCCAGGGGGAAAGGAATTCAGGTTTCCGTGATGGCTGACTGAAGTTCTTCAGCAAAGGAGCTGTAGGGCTGTGTAATCCCGGCCAAGCTGTGGGCTGTATATCTCCCCGGCCAAGCCGTAGAAGACGAAGCTTTCTACAGGAGCTCTTGGTATTATGTCCTGCATGAAAGGCTTCTCTGTGTGGACTGAACCCAAATTGGCTCCTATTCCCTCCAAAACCCAAAAAGGGGGCGGGACCAGGGAACCTAACTATAATTGACAGGTGGCTTGCCCTATGATTGCAGCCAAAAGAAGCCACCTATCTGCAGAGTCCCTGAAACTTAGGGCTACAACAAACATTCAATGCAAAGCAAACAAAATTGGAGCTCCTGGTACAGTTGTACCTGCATAGCCCCCCACGAGGGTCTTCCTCCAGGGGCAAACCAAGAATGGGCAACCTGGAAGTCCCTGAATAGACTCAGAAGCGGAGTGGGCAGATCAAAAGACAACCTGGCAAAATGGCACTACTTAAAAGAATCCCATACCTTGTGTGACTGTGGAGCAGAACAGACAACTCCGCATCTGTATCCTTGTCCATTGTGCCCTGCCTCATGTACAGAGGAGGAATTGTTGGAGGCTACAGACAATGCCGTTGCTGTTGCCCGTTATTGGTCAAAAGATATTTAACCACCTGCACACCTTCTATTTTCTAAGTTTTATACTAATTTGTGCAATGCTTTTGATATGAAATAAATAAGCACCTAAGCCACTGAAAGTTCACACTCACCCATCTTGGTCCTACTTGGATTTGTGGATTTAATCCTATTGTGACCTTGGAGGTGATGAAAGATTGCCATCCATGCAGTCTGTACCTCCTCAGTAATAATCATGTCCGTGATAAAAATCAGTTCTGTGTATTTCTCTAAGACCTATGCAAGTAAGGGTATGTGTGGCAAAGAAGAATACAGTGAAAATGCATGTTTACAAACCTGTGCAGAGTTTCAATTGGTAAACCCCAAGGAATCCTGCTTGGCTCTGGTTTCCTGGGCCAGGTCCACGATATGACCCCCCCCCCCACACACACACACACACACTTTGCACACACCCACACATTTCTGTTTTGCACTTTCACCTCACCCACCCACCCAGAGTAAACAACAGACAGATGAATCAGCTTTCGATCAAGGTTGATTGAAGCAGTGTTAGCATTTGAAGGGCCAACAGGAGTGGCATTGACACAGGTGGAACCTCCTGTTGTGCCTACTTTCAGCTGGAGCAGAATGGTACAAAACCACTGACCGGGCAGAATGACTGGATTATTCAATGCTGGAAAGGTTTTAGGAATTTGCCTCCTTTTCCTGTGCTTTTATTTTAAATAGACACTTTTTCTCCTCTTCAGGTTTGCACCTGCTCCAATCTGTGCTCAGTACAACCGTGATCCCAATATGTGGAGTCAATGGGACTAACTGTACAACTGCTTGGGGTGAGTTTGAATGATTTCTAACAGTCAATAAAGGATGCATAATATTAGCAGAATTTTCCTGGCCTTCTCTCAGTACGTTTATGGCTACAATTAATTAAATACATGTAAAGACATTAGCATTCCCTCTTGCCTTCCCACCCCTTACGCTGTCTTCTTTTTCTCAAGATATGAACTTCATTTTCCTTGAGGAAAGGACTCTTTTTGATAAAGCTACTCTGTAATATGGTGTCAACTTTGGTGACATTACAGTGGGTCCTCCGAATTCACTGGGTTTAGGAGTACAGGAACCCTAGGAAAGTAGGGGAAAAAAACATTAATAAAAATACAAACTTTTGTACCTCAAAGAAACCTCTCAAGGAATCCCTAGAGATTTCATGTTGGGGGTACTTGTTTTATATATTTATCTTTTTGTGATACAGTCATTCGGCGTTACTAGCAAAGTGGAAGTTAAACCACCCCCCATAAGAGGTATAGACACGTACATACATTATAATAACAATGACAAAACATACCATATCTCACAAAAACCTTTCATTTATATATTTTTAATTTATGTATTGCTTTTTTACATAGATTTGGAGGTTTGTATATAATAGTATAGTATATATTGTATATACTCGAGTATAAGCCTAATTTTTCAGCCCCTTTTTTAGACTGAAAAAGCTGCCCTCGGCTTATACTCGAGTCAAAGTTATTTATTATTTTACTCTGTTATTACTATTATTTTTATTACATTTATTATTTTACTCTATTATTGGTATTATTACATTTACATTATTTTACTCTATTATTATTTTATTACATTTATTTTACTCTATTTATTATTATTATTATTACATTTATTATTTCACTTTATTATTATTTTTATTAAATTTGTTATTTTACTCTATTATTGGCATTATTACATTTGCATTATTTTACTCTATTATTATTTTATTACATTTATTTTACTCTATTATTATTATTACATTTACTTTATTATTATTGTAATTACATCTATTATTTTACTTTCTTTATTATTATTGGAAGGATACGTAAGCACATTTACCCTGAAAAGGTTAGAATAAAGGTTTAATCAAAGTTGGTCAGTCTTATTTCAGATTACAGTTTTATGTAAACATTGAAAAACATTTAACCTACTGTTTCCTCRGTTAATGTAATTTTATTGGTATCTATATTTATTTTGTATTACTAGTAGCTGCTGCATTTCCCACCCTCGACTTATACTCGAGTCAATAAGTTTTCCCATTTTTTGGTGGTAAAATTAGATGCCTCGGTTTATATTCGGGTCGGCTTATATACRGTACATATAATATTTRTAATATTATAATATAATATAATATTACTACTAATAATAATACAATATTATAATTATATATTTATATTACATGTAATATTACTAATAATATTACAATATAATGGTATAGTACAATATAGTAATATATAATACTGCTATTGTACTATGCTAATAATAATATCTTGTATGTGTATATATTTTGTAAGCCGTTCTGAGTCCCCTTCGGGGTGAGAAGGGTGGCATATAAATGTTGTAAATAAATAACTAAATTTCACATTATGTTTGTGTGACACACCTACACACTACGAAGCCAACACACTCTTTTTCTTTTTTAGTGTCAGGAGGGACTTGAGAAACTGCAAGTCGCTTCTGGTGTGAGAGAATTGGCCGTCTGCAAGGACGTTGCCCAGGGGACACCCAGATCCTTGTGGGAGGCTTCTATTGTGTCTCTGCATGAGGAGCTGGAGCTGACAGAGGGAGCTCATCCGTGCTCTCCCCAGATTCGAACCACTGACTTGTCAGTCATCAGTCATGCTGGCACAACCCATTGCACCACCGTGGGCTCCAGCCAACAGACTAATATGCCACAACACACAGTTTAGAAAGCTCTCCTCTAGGCCATCCAAAAGCTAGAGAAGTGTTCTTTCCAGGAATCTTTAGATCCTCCACTGCAATTCCATAGATAACTTCCCCACACCATTTTCTCAACCAAGATCCAAAACTGCTCTTAATAGATCTGATTGTAATCTGTTATGTAAGGACTTAACTTTGACCATAATTAACTCTTATTTCTTCCTTTAGTTCGAACAGAAAAAAGTCCCCGTGTAGCTCAAGTTCGGATCACAGGGTGCAAGTCTGATATGAACAATTACTGCTTCAATGGAGATTGCATGTACCTTGTGGAGTTGAATGAGCATTCCTGCAGGTAAAAGGAAATGTTTCCAAATCGTAACATTATTTATTTCACTTCACAATGTTTGACAATTTTCCAAAGGGTTCTAATTTTTTCCCCATCCATACTTTCTTATCATACATTAAGTTGTTCGCTCTCTGCAAATTTGAAACTATCTTGATATACAGCATATGAAAAGCCCGTGCTGTTTGCAAAATGCAAATCTAAATGGCTGTTATGTGAAACTAGAGGTTTGTGCACTCCAAGAGTGGTTACACATGTAATAAGTGGCCTACTCCATAAGCAAGTAGCTTATGCATTAGTTTTTTTGTTAAACTAGCTATACCCGCCACGCGTTACTGTGGCCAACCTTCCCTCCCTCTTTCTCTCCTTTCCTTCCTTCCCTTTTCTTCTTTCCTTCTCTCCTTCCTTCCTTCTCTACCTCTTTCCTTCCTCCCATTTTCTTTTCCTTCCCTTTCCTTCCTWYCTTYGCTTTTTGCTTCCATCCTTCCATCTTTACTTCCCTCCCTCTTTCTCTCCTTTCTTCCTTCTCTACCTCTTTCCCTCCTTCCTTTGCTCCCTCTTTCCTTCCTTTCCTTTTTTCTTTCCTTCTCTCCTTCCTTCCTTCTCTACCTTTCTTTCCTTCCCCCTTTTTCTTTTCCTCTTTCTCTTTCCTTCTCTACCTCTTTCCTTCCTTTGCTTTTTGCTTCCATCCTTCCTTCTGTCTTTCCTTCCCTCCCTCTTTCTCTCCTTTCCTTCTTTCCCTCCTTCCTTCACTCCCTTTTCTTCCTTTCCTTTTTTTTTCTTTCCTTCTCGCATTCCTTCTTTCCTACCCCTTTCTTTCCATCCCCCTTTTCTTTTCCTCTTTTTCTCCTTTCTTCCTTCTCTACCTCTTTCCCTCCTTCCTTCGCTCCCTCTTTCCTTTCTTTCCTTTTTTCTTTCCTTCTCTCATTCCTTCTTTCCTACCCCTTTCTTTCCATCCCCCTTTTCTTTTCCTCTTTTTCTCCTTTCTTCCTTTTCTACCTCTTTCCTTCCTTCCTTCGCTCTTTGCTTCCACGCTTCCTTCTCTCTTTCTTTCCTTCCTTCCTTCCTTTCTTTTTTCTCCTCTTCCTTCCCTCCCTCTTCCTTCCCTTTTTCTGTATCTTCATTTAGCTTTTCACCATTTAGCTTTTTGGGAGGTTTTTCTTTTTTTGGGGGGGGGGTTATGAGTAATGGTCACTCATTGGTCTGTTAGAGGTGCGGTGTCCAAATTTCGTGTCATTTCATCCAGTAGTTTTTGAGTTATGTTAATCCCACAAGCAAACATTACGTTTTTATTTATATAAATTGTCATGGTGTCTCCGTAAAGCTTCCTCAAAATTACAGTTTATGGAGGAAACGGAAGATTCTATGAAATATATTTCTAATCCCTTTTCATAGATTTACAGTTCTCAGGATTTCTTGGGGCGAGGTTATGGTCATAAAGTATAAGACTTAATTCCACAGTACATTGTTCTTCTTCTAGTAAAGTATGTTCTCATCTTGCAATATGTCTAAGACCAGGAAGCCATCCAAGTGTCTAATATTTATTTAAATACTATTTAATATTTATTTAAATACTAGCCATCCCCTGCCACACGTTGCTGTGGCCCAGTCTGTGTATATGTGTTTTGTGTGTATATATGTGTGTGTTTATATTTCTGTATATGTGTATATATGTATTTTCTATTGGTCATGGGGGTTCTGTGTGAGAAGTTTGGCCCAATTCTATCATTGGTGGGGTTCAGAATGCTCTGTGATTGTAGGTGAACTATAAACTACAACTCCCAAATGTCAGGATTCTATTTTATCCAAACTCCCCCAGTGTTCACATTTGGGCATATTGAGTATTCTTGTAGAGTGTGGTCCAGATCCATCATTGTTTAAGTCCACAGTGATCTCTGGATGTAGGTGAACTACAACTCCAAAACCATAGGACACTGGCCACCAAACCCTTCCAGTATTTTCTGTTGGTCATGGGAGAACTGTGTGCCAAGTTTGGTTCAATTCCATCATTGGAGGGGTTCAGAATACTCTTTGATTGTAGGTGAACTATAAATCCCAGCAACTACAACTCAAATGACAAAATCAATTTTTTTGAGTGAAGAACATACATTGGGCTATTAGGTGTATTGTGTCCAAATTTGGTGTCAATTCGCCCAGTGGTTTTTGAGTTCTGTGAATATCACAAACGAACATTACCTTTTTATTTATATTGATGTCTTTTTACTCTCCTCAGGTGTTATACAGGTTATGTTGGTGTCCGATGTGGCCATTCCAATTTTGAGCTCGTCCAGCAGCCCCTCAGCAATGAGTACTTGGCACTCACTATTCTCTTGGTTCTTCTTTTCTTCATTGCAATTTCCGTGGTGATCTACTACTTCTACACATGGTGAGCATCTTCTCCAATCATTTTATTTTATGGGCTAGGCATGATAGAGAAATAACACTCAATGGTAATTCAGATAGAAAAGTCTCCCCTCTCCTATATATATTACAGTTTTGCAAACCCAACATTTATTTATTTATTTATTTATTTGGAGTTTTTATAACCCGGTCTTCTCAACCTCCGAGGAGGGACTCAGGCTGGCTAACAACATAAGATTCAATACAATAAGAAAAACATTATAAATCATCAATATAAAATACATTAAAATACAATTCATACAAGTTACAGCGAAAATCAGTTCATTAAAAAAAATCACAAATTCATCGCCATCCGCCAGAAAGGTCAGCGGTTATTGACTCAGTCATCATTCTGCAAATGCAGTATCCCAAAGCCATGTTTTTACCAGCTTTCTAAATGTCAGGAGGGAAAAGGCAGATCTAATCTCCATCGGGAGGGAGTTCCAAAGCCGAGGGCCACCACCAAAAAGGCCCTGTTCCTCGTCCGCACCAAACGCAATTGCGACGGCGGTGGGACCGAGAACAGGGCCCCTCCAGAAGATCTTAACAACCTTGATGGTTCATAGGGGAGAATCCGTTCCGACAGGTAAATAGGGCCAGAGCCGTTTAGGGATTTATAGGTCAACACCAGCACTTTGAATTGTGCTCAGAAGCTGATTGGCAGCCAGTGGAGCTGGCGCAACAGAGAAGTAGTATGCTCCCTGTACCCCGCTCCTGTTAGTAATCTGGCTGCCGCTCGTTGTACTAGTTGTAGCTTCCGGGCATTCTTCAGAGGCAACCCCACATAGAGAGCGTTGCAGTAGTCTATACGGAATGTAAGCAGAGCATGTACCACCATGGCCAAGTCAGACTTCCCAAGGTACGGGTGCAGCTGGCGCACAAGTTTTAATTTTGCAAAAGCTCCCCTGACCACCGCCAAGACCTGGGGTTCCAGGATCACTCCCAAGCTGTGAACCTGTGCCTTCAGGGGGAGTGTAACCCCGTCGAGCACAGGCTGTAAACCTATGCCCTGTTCGGCCTTTCGGCTGACCAGGAGTACCTTTGTCTTGTCTGGATTTAGTTTCAATCTGTGGCATTACACATTAAAGAACCAGAAGAGCAATACTGAAACAATTTCACAATTAGGAACCACATTGTGTTTTGTCCTTCCCTTGATCACTGGGCATGTCTACAAGCTCAAGGTCACTTCAGAGTTTCTAGAAAACACCAGACTTTTTTCCAACTTTGCTTAGCTCAGAGCAAAGTTAATGCCAAAACAAGACCTGAAATAGCTGTAGATTGGGTTGTTGTAGGTTTTTCCGGGCTATATGGCCATGTTCTAGAGGCATTTTCTCCTGACGTTTCGCTTGCATCTATGGCAAGCATCCTCAGAGGTAGTGAGGTCTGTTGGAAGTAGGAAAATGGGTTTATATATCTGTGGAATGACCATGGTGGGACAAAGGACTTTTGTCTGCTGGAGCTAGGTGTGAATGTTTCAACTGACCACCTTGATTAGCATGTTTGGACAATGCTGCGTTTGGTGGTCCCTGCTGTCCACTTGTCCACTGCTGCATGGAATACGGTAGACTCCTGCAGAGGTGAGAGGATCCCTCTTATCCTTTGCGCCAAAACATGAATCAAGGAACATGAAAGGCACTGCAGACTACTTCGACCAGAGAAGTCAGCCATAGCAGAGCACCTGATGAACCAACCTGGACACAGCATTTTATTTGAGAACACAGAAATGCTGGACCACTCTCACAACCACCATGTCAGACTACACAGAGAAGCCATTGAAATCCACTAGCATGTGGACAATTTCAACAGAAAGGAAGAAACCATGAAAATGAACAAAATCTGGCTACCAGTATTAAAAAACTCAAAAATTACAACAGCAAAACAACAGAGAGTAAACAATCAGGCACATCAAATCACTCTCAACAAAAGATTCCCCCAGGCACTTCCAAGCCATTAAATGCTAATCAAGGTGGTCAGTTGAAACATTCATACCTAGCGCCAGCAGACAAAAGTCCTTTGTCTCACCCTGGTCATTCCACAGATATATAAACCCATTTTCCTACTTCCAATAGACCTCACTACCTCTTAGGATGCTTGCCATAGATGCAGGCGAAACGTCAGGGGAAAATGCCTCTAGAACATGGCCATATAGCCTGGGAAAACCTACAACAACCCAGTGATTCTGGCCATGAAAGCCTTCGACAATACATAGTTGTAGATTGTTTGGACAGCCAGCAACGGCTTCTGGTAGGAGCCCTCGGTGGCGCAGTGGGTTAAACCCCTGTGCCGGCAGGACTGAACACCGACAGTTCACAGGTTCGAATCCGGGGAGAGGCGGATGAGCTCCCTCTATCAACTCCAGCTCCTCCTGTGGGGACATGAGAGAAGCCTCCCACAAGGATGATAAAAACATCAAATCATCCGGGCATCCCCTGGCCAACGTCCTTGCAGACGGCCAATTCTTTCACACCAGAAGCGACTTGCAGTTTCTCAAGTCGCTCCTGATACGACAAAAAAAAACAGCTTTTGGTTAGGTCTGCCTTGTTTTGCCCATTTAGTCATGGCCTTTTTTGCACTTATTGACTTGAAGTTGCAAAATATAGAAAGTGTAATAAACACTTTAAAAGCTTTCATTGCTTTTCAGTTTCTTTGTCTGTAATATATTTCAGTCTTTTTAAAGTGGCCCTTCTCTCTTTACTGTTCACAGGTACCAGAACAAGAAGCGAAGACTTGCTACAAACACGAATTATAAAGAAGTTGCCACAAATAATGAAAAAGATAATAAGCTGCTTCATGTGTGAAATATGAGACTTGTGCAAACCATTTATTTAATATCATTAAATACTTATTTTATTAATAATATTTATGCTCTAAGCAAAAGAATTTCAAAAGAATGCAGGTCAAAAGGGTTATTTTTGTAATAATAAATTATATTTGTATTTGTATCTTGTTTTTTTATTCTGTTTTATTTTTGTGCAACATTTTGATAATGCAATGTAGATGCGCCTTGCATTCATCCTCAATGTAAAAAAGTTGTTTATGAGGGTGCCGAAAAACGTATGACGGAATGTAATCTTCTTACTGCTTGCACTTAATGCACTGTGAAATACATAATTTTGTATTGTGTTCACTTTAAGAAACTCCTACTGTTGAGGATTAAATCTATCTAAATGTTCCATCTAAATGTTCTAATGTTGTTGTTTTCTTTTAAAAGTGGTTTTAGTAAGTGACAGATGATTACCCACCAGCAGGGGCGGCTCGTCCATTACGCGAAGTAAGCGGTCGCAGAACACTTTTTTTCCTAGGGGCGCAGAGGCGCCTCTGTAAATGCCCCTCGACCGCCACTTGAGGAGCGGTCAGATCACAACAGCCCTAGCAGTCCGGGGGGAGCCTCGGCTTTCTTGCTTCGCCGGGGCGATCCTCTTCCTAAAGGGGCCGGGCCCTTGAGCCTCCCCTCGCCCCTCTCGTTCCTGCTCCACCCGGCCACCGGGTGCGCAAGCAGAGCCGGCGCTCAATCATTCTCCGCGTTCGATCCCTTCCCCATGACCGGCTCCCTTTCCCGATCCCCCGGCGCTCCACCCGCCTCCTCTCCTCTCCCCAATCCGCGTGGGCCAAGGGGTGGAGCCGCCGCGTCTGGCCCGCTTCGGGTCCGGAGGCGTGTCTGAAGACCCCAGCGTGCGCACCAAAAGTCGCCTCTTCTCCTGACTTTCTCTTCAGCCATTGGGACCAAGAGAGAGAGCCCCTCCGGCTGGAGGTATCTCCCACCTCCGCTCCCTCCTTTGTTTTTGTGCCTACCTTCAGGAAAGGTGGGCATCTCCACCTCTCTCTCTCTCTCTCTTCGGTCCCAATGGCTGAGGAGAAAGTCAGGAGAAGAGGTGACTTTTGGTGCACACGCCAGGGTCTTCAGGCACAGCTCCGGACCCAAAGCAGGCCAGGCAAGGCAAGGGAGCAAGTGTGGCAAGTGTAGTTACTGGGATGTATAGTTCACCTACAATCAAAGAGCATTCTGAACTCCACCAATGATGGAATTGAACCAAATATGGCACACAGAACTCCCACGAAGAAACAGAAAATATATATCAATGATTGGTGGGGGGGGGGGGGCGCCAAAATACTGTTTGCTTACCGTTGAAAATTACCTAGGGCCGCCTCTGCCCACCAGTCATTACTGCAGTGGATCACCAAACAGTGCAGGCAACAGTGGAGTAGAAGAACCTTTTCTTACTAAATAATTGCAATAGCACAATAATTCCATTTTATTTGCCCTGGTTGCATCCCATTGAATTCTAGTTTGGTGAGAGATTAAATTCTCTGACTGAGAATCTATATAAATAAAAATGTAATGCAAAACAGCAGAGAGGAAACAACCAGGCACATCTTAACACCTCTCAACAGAACATTTCCCAGGCTCAGCCAGGCCTTCAAATGCTAATGAAGGTGGTCAGCTGAAACATTCACACCTAGCTTCAGCAGAGAGCTCTTTGCCCCACCCCAGTCATTCCACAGATATATAAACCCATTTTCCTATTTCCAACAGACCTCACTACCTCTGAGGATGCTTGCCATAGATGCAGGCGAAACGTCAGGAGAAATGCCTCTAGAACATGGCCCTATAGCCCGAAAAACCACAAGAACCTAGTGATTCCAGCCATGAAAGCCTTCGACAATACAATGTAATGTTAGTTCATGCTACTATCAGAACTCAAAAACCACTGGGGGAATTGACACCAAATTTGGACACAAGACACCTAACAGTCCAATTTATGTCCTCCATTGATTTTGTCATTTGGGAATTGTCATTGCTGGGATTTATAGTTTACCAACAATCAAAGAGCATTCTGAACTCCACCAATGATGGAACTGGGCCAAACTTAGCACACAGGGCTCCCATGACCAACAGAAAAAACTGGAAAGGTTTGGTGGACATTGACCTTGAGTTTGGGAATTATAGTTCACCCACATCCAGAGAGCACTGTGGACTCAAACAATGATGGATCTGGACCAAACTTGGCACAAATATTCCATATGCCCAAATATGAACACAGATGGAGTTTAAGGGAAATAGACCTTGACATTTGGGAGTTGTAGTTGCTGTGATTTATAGTTCACCTACAATCAAAGAGCTTTCTGAACTCCACCAATGATGGAATTGAACCAAACATGGCATACAGGACTTCCATGACCAACAGAACACACTGGAAGGGTTTGGTGGGCATTGACCTTGAGTTTGGGAGTTGTAGTTCACCTACATCCAGAGAGCACTGTGGACTCAAACAATGATGGATCTGGACCAAACTTGGCACAAATATTCCATATGCCAAATATGAACACAGATGGAGTTTGGAGGAAATAGACCTTGACATTTGGGATTTGTAGTTACTGGGATTTATAGTTCACCTAGAATCAAAGAGCATTCTGAACTCCACCAATGATGGAATTGGGCCAAACTTAGCACACAGGGCTCCCATGACCAACAGAAAAAACTGGAAGGGTTTGGTGGACATTGACCTTGAGTTTGGGAATTGTAGTTCACCCACATCCAGAGAGCACTGTGGACTCAAACAATGATGGATCTGGACCAAACTGGCACGAATAGACCATTCCCATTATTATTATTATTATTATTATTATTATTATTATTATTAAACTTTATTTGTACCCCGCTAGCATCTCCCGAAGGACTTGATGCGGCTTACAAAGGCCAAGGCCTTAACACAACAACAGACAATAACAATACAATGCAAAGCAAATTAAAAACATAAGCAATAACACAACAAAACATTACACTATTACGCAATAAAACCAGGGCCGGGCCAATGATGGGTACAGGTTAAAAAGTGCTGGGTGTGTGAGGTGGTATGTTGGAATTCTGGGCAAGTGCAATTTGCAGAGAGTCTTAGACTCTAGTAAAGTGCTTCTGGGACGTAGTGCTGGAGGTTATCCAATTCTGGAAAGGCACATCGGAATAACCAGGTCTTCAAATTCCTCCTAAAGACTGCCAACGTGGGTGCTAGTCTAATGTCTTTGGGGAGGGTGTTCCAAAGTCAGGGGGCAACCACAGAGAATGTGAATACTGGTGGGGTTGGTGATGTTGTCATTTGGGAGTTGTAGTTGCTGGGATTTATAGTTCATCTACAATCAGAGAGCATTCCGAACTCCACCCATGATGGAATTGAACTAAACTTGCCATACAGAACTCCCTTGACCAACAAAACACTAGAAGGGTTTGGTGGGCATTGACTTTGAGTTTGGGAGTTGTAGTTCACCTACATCCAAAGAGCACTGTGGACTCAAACAATGATGGATCTGGACCAAACTTGGCACAAATATTCCATATGCCCAAATATGAATACAGATGGAGTTTGGGGGAAATAGACTTGACATTTTGGAGTTGTAGTTGCTGGGATTTATAGTTCACCTACAATCAAAGAAATATGAACACACCAATGATGTAATTGAACCAAACATGGCATACAGGACTTCCATGACCATATATTAGAAACCAACACTTTCTCATTACTTCATTTTCCAGATCACCAGGCTGGGCCACAGCAACACGTGGCAGGGGGTAGCTAGTATAAATTATTATTATTATTATTATTATTATTATTATTATTATTATTATCTATATAAATAAAAATGTAATGTTCGTTTGTGGGATTAACATAACTCAAAAACCACTGGACAAATTGACACCAAATTTGGACACAAGACACCTAACAACCCAATGTACTCCACTCAAAAAAAAATGATTTTGTCATTTGGGAGTTGTAGTTGCTGGGATTTATAGTTCACCTACAATCAAGAGCATTCTGAACTCCACCAATGATGGAATTGATCCAAACTTGGCACACAGGACTCCCATGACCAACAGAAAATACTGGAAGGGTTTGGTGGGCATTGACCTTGAGTTTTGGGAGTTGTAGTTCACCTACATCCAGAGAACACTGTGGACTCAAACAATGATGGATCTGGACCAAACTTGACACAAAAATTCCATATGCCTAAATATGAACACAGATGGAGTTTGGAGGAAATAGACCTTGACCTTTGGGATTTGTAGTTACTGGGATTTATAGTTCACTACAATTAAAGAGCATTCTGAAACCCACAAATGACAGAAATGGGGCAAACTTCCCACACAGAACCCCCATGACCAACAGAAAATACTTAAGGCCATCCAGTCCAACTCTCTTCACCAGGGCAAGAAAATGTAATCGGAGCCCTCCTGACAAAGAGCCATCCAGTCATAAATATAGATAGATAGATATGATTCACACACAGAAGAGATATAGTATCATAGATTTGAAAGGGACCCTTAAAGAAGGACAATGATATGTTGCATGTTCCAGAGTAGGCAAACCAGACACTCTCCACATCAACACTGACAAAGAAACAACAAGAAATACTGTTTACCCACAAGCATAAAGGAATTACATATATTAGAAACCAACACTTTCTCATTACTTTATTTTCCAGATCACCAGACTGGGCCACAGCAACGCCTGGCAGGGAACAGCTAGTTCTAAACAGTCATCCTAAACTGCAAAGCAAAGGATTATGTAGGATGTTGCCATCACAAAATGGAATCATAAAAGTTGTAATTGTGTAGTGTTCACCCTTTGAGCCTGGCTGCAATCCTTCCAGCAGCAGCACAGGAAACAAAACATTTTCTCTGATGGTCAGTAGTGACTTCCATGTCAGTGGGATGGGGAATTTTCTCTGGATTTTAGTCCAAAAATTAAAAGAACTATTCAATGTGTTAAACTGATCTCAGCTATAGGATTCAGGACTTTGGTAAAATTTGGACTAAAATGTGGGGCATATCCAAACCCAATTATATGGAACCTATCAGTCAACACTGAATTTCTCAGCAACAATATGCAGTTGTGATGTATCCCTGGTATTATGCAAAATACCAGAGAAGCAGAAGTAATATGAATTTGTTGTTCATTCGTTCAGTCATTTCTGACTCTTCGTGACCTCATGGACCAGCCGTCACCATCCCCAGCTCCTTCAAGATCAATCCAGTCACTTCAAGGATCCCATCCATCCATCTTGCCCTTGGTCAGCCCCTCTTCCTTTTTCCTTCCACTTTCCCCAGCATAATTGTCTTCTCTAAGCTTCCCTGTCTCCTCATGATGTGGCCAAAGTACTTCAACTTTGTCTCTAATA